ACACACACACACACACACACGTCTGTCTACCTATACATATGGGGACATTCCATTGACTTTCATTAAATTTCTACAGCCTAACCCTGACCCCCTACCCTAAAACTAACCTAAACTCAATTCACACCTTGGTCCTAAACCGAACCCCCATCCCACTCGTTTTAAAGAAAACGAGGACTCCGCTTAGGTACATATGTACCTAATACATATAATACATATGCACATATGTTCCCATATGTACCAGTGGTCCCCACATGCAGGTGTTTTGTCTTAAAATAGTCCTCATGTGTCATGAAAAACACATCCACACACATCCTTCAGAGGAAATCGTTTTATCCTAACATTTACTAAATACACTGCTGGGGAAACTGTGGGTGAGTGGTTCGGGGAGTCATCTTCTAATTGGAGTTGGCAGCTCGATTCCCCGCTGTTCAGTCACATGTCAAAGTGTTACTGAACCCCCACTGCCTCTGATGTGTGTCCCATCAGTGTATGAATGTGATTTAAAGCATTGATTAGTCTCCATAGGATGATTTGTACATGTTAGCTGTGTAGAGACCTAGTACTGTGCTGAATGAATGAGTGTGGATGGGTAAATGAGGGCACAGATTGTAATGTAAAGTGCTTTGAGATCCTGGTTGGATAGAAAGGTGCTGTATAAATACAGTCCATTTACCATTTACACTGTGTGTGTTCACATTTTTATTAATCAACCTTTGTTTAACCATACAAATTCCACTGAGATGACATTTCTCTTTTGCAGGGGGAAGCGTGGGCCTGAAGACAACCTGACATCTTGTTTTTTTGTCTGTGGGAGGAAATTGGAGTACACAGAGATGTAGTGAACACGCTCATGTCACCTCACCTCATATCACCACTGATTGACCTTTAACCGCCCGAAGTCAAAGCTCTCTTCTCCCAGACTGAACTGTTTCAGTCCTCACTGAGGACAATCAAAAATGTGTTTGACTTTTTGTCTACTTTTCAAGGGCTCTCTAATAACAATTATTTTATAGCTTTGCATTTATTGCATTTATTGTTTAGAACATGTTTAGAAATTATGAGTTAGTGATAACAGAATATATTTTAATCAATGCTTATGTTTTTATCTTTTCACGGCTTCTGTTTTTAATAAGCATTAATTAATCATTTTATTAGTTAACTAATAATATTTCATAATTAATCATTAGTTAATTGAAATATTAATCTAATGTTCTTTAAGAGTTGAATTAATCCTGCTTATTAATGTTGGTGTGATGTTTTTGATGTTTAGCCTTGCGTCTTTACACACAAAGACATACACACACACAGTTCTCGTGAGAACTCCAACATGCAATCAGGTATCTGCAGATAACACTCCTACACATGTTCTTCTTCTGGTCTCTGACTGTGAGAACGCAGTTTTCCTGTGTCTTTAAAACCCCTTTGTTACTTCCTGTTTGTCAGTCTGTCAGCTTGTGTGTTTTGCCCTGCTGGGTCAAGAGGCGCAGGTCACCTCTCTGGCTCTTTTCCTATACTAGAAAACAGCTATGCTTTCCAGGTCCTCTTGCAGCATAATTTTCCTCTTTTTCTTACAAGGAAATATGCTTTTTGGTGGAATATCATTTTTGTGTCGGGTTGCTAAGGCTAAAACCTGGAGCCATCATCTCTTGCTGTTAGTCTTTCAAAGTTCCTGGTGGACCTGTCAGCTCTGAACCACTGCCGCGCTGCTGATATACCCGGGTCCCTGAAAAGGGATCTTTGTTACCCATTCGTCTGACCAAGAGAGGCCTCGGTCTATGCTGTCCTACAAGCATCTGCCCAGAACTCCATGTCTGGTCTTGTTTGGAAAGGTCCCAGGGCTAGTAAAGCTGACGCTTGTGCTCACTTGGTCCCAGGCTCACAGCTCACAGCTGAAACATAATTTAGAACCTTAAAAGATTTATTTGTTGTCTGTTTGTTTGTCACCTCTCTCTGTCTCTCTCTGTCTCTCTCTCTCTCTCGCTCGCTCGCTCGCTCGCTCCCTCATACATATGCACACACAGACACACACTGACCCTGAATGTATATAAAATAACTTGCTTTGCTTAGTTAATACTGTTAGACAAACTGCTTAAAAGTAGAAACCAATAGCATTGTAGTGAGAGCTCATTTATTGTTTGATTGTTGTAACCACTTATTAATCATTCAATATTACTCTTTAATAAAAGTCAGTTAGTTTTAACTGGCCAAAATAAACGAAATGACTTTGTGTGATTTCTGTGTGAATTGTGGTGATTGAATCGTTTTGTTCAACAGATACCATCCTCGAACCGGGAGGGATACTCTTAATTAAAGTCAAATTTGTGATTTTAACGAGGGTTATCTCTACAGAGAAAACCCGTGCAACCACAGGAACAACATGCAAACTCTAGAAAGATCCCAGGTCCAAACCAGGGATTTGAACCCAGGACCTGCATGCTGTCAGACGTTTGTATTAACCACTGAGCAATCAAGCTGTTTTTGTTACATTTTTAGCACTTTTCTAATATAATCACTAATTACTGATTACTGATTAACAAGACTCCCAGATGCTCAGCTTGAGAAAGAGACTAGATTAGAGCCACTGCCTTAGAGCCAGAGCTTTCTGGAGGAATTATATTCTCTATGGATCAGTGGGATCTTCCACGAGGAGCTTCAGTGTTCATCTCTCTTTCATAATGCTGGGCAGTAAACTTATCTGTTTAATACGACTGATCGTAAAATGTTGTGGTAGTTCTAGTGTTACCTGGTGACCGTTGCCTGTGAAGCTGATCCTCTGGTGCTTGATGTTGATGATGTTGGTGACGATGGTAAGTGTGAGTCTCTGCTGGGTCCAGATCAGGCTGCGTGGGGTTCTGCTGGTCGTTTGGTTCATACTGTGTGCTGAAAAATGCCTGGTAGTCATTTTGGTCTTGGTTTGGTTTGCCTTGCTCTTGCTGTAGCTGAGGTCCAGCTGGAACATCTGAAACACACAAATTAAACATGCTTAAAGTTAAACAGTCCCTTCCAAATATATTGGAACAAGTCAAACACTGTTATGTAAAGATTTATTTAACAAAGACAGAAATACGTGGGCCAAGAATGAAGGTACTCAGTGGAAATGATCAGCTGACTTTTAACGCAACAACAAGAACACAGAGAACAACATCAGACTGTCACTGCTTCTGCTCTTTTCTCTGTGCTTCTGCCTCTACTGAGACAGTTGAGGCCTTATACGGTATATACTGTTTAACAAACACTATGTCATCTTAGGAAGATTTCATCCTAAGGAAATGCTGGGTCAAGGGAAAACACAAAGATAAACACAAGTGATACAGTATCTAAGAATGACTGTTGTTAAAGCTGCTGTATGTAGTTTCTTCGAAACCCAAAAACTTAGAAAAATTTTGAACAGAAACAACCTTGTAGTCCCTCCCCCTGCTTTCAGCTCCCCTTCCTAAGCTCCTCCCCCACAGCAGGGCCCAGCCGGGAGCGCGCACGGTTGTTAACAGGAGGTGATCTCACCGTAACACACAGAGCTCAGAGCTAAGCTTCCGTCACAGGTAAGA